GGAGGGGAGGGGGAGGGCTGGGAGGCTGTGCGGGAGCTAAGGGGATGCAGGGCTGCTGCTGCTAAAGTGCTGCTGCTGCTAAAGTGCTGCTGCTGCTAAAGTGCTGCTGCTGCTAAAGTGCTGCTGCTGCTGCAGTGCTGCTGCTGCTGCTGCTGCTGCTGCTGCTGCTGCTGCTGGGGGGGGGGCCGCCAGCGCGCCCGGTGCTGCTGCTGCTGCTGCAGCAGCAGCAGGAAGCGACCCGCTGCCTGCGAAGGGGGACAGCGCCTGGATCATTTCGGATATGCTCGCGCCCGACGGCACGCCGCGCGCTTCTGCTGCTGCTGCTGCTCCTCCTGCTGCTGCTGCTGCTGCTGCGGCGGCGGCTGCTGCTGCTGCTGCGGGCTCCGGGGGGGAGAAGGAGCCGGGGGGGCAGAGGGCTAGGGGGGAAGCTGCCACCGCTGTGGAGCTCGAAGCAGCAACGGGGGCACCTGCTGCTGCTGCTGCTGCTGCTGCTGCGGGTGCTGCTGCTGCTGCTGCTGCTGCTGCAGCGTCTTCAAGGGCCGGCCTCTTGGCCCCGCCGTCGAGCGCGTCGCGCTCGCCAGCTGCGGCCTTCTCCGCTGCTGCTGCAGCAGCAGCAGCAGCAGCAGCAGCAGCAGCGTGGCGGTCCGCGAAGTTGTACTCGTCCCCCAACTTCAGCCGCAGCGCCACTTCAACTGCTGCAGCATAAGGGGGGGCCCTGAGGCCCTCATTAGCAGCAAAAAGTTCCCTCGTGCGGCGTACAGACACCTGAAGAGCAGCAGGCAGCGGCCGCAGGGGCCCCTCCGCCTCCAGCGGGTCCCACGCCCGCTTGCCCCGCAGCCTGCTGCTGCTGCTGCTGCTGCTGCGGCTGCTGCTGCTGCTGCTGCTGCTGCTGCTGCTGCTGCTGCTGCTTGGGCCCCCGCCGCCCGGAGCGGGCGGCGGCGCTGCCGTCGCCGGAGCTGCCATTGTCGCGGAGGCCGCCCCGGCCGCGGCAACTGCTGCTGCTGCTGCTGCTGTTGATGTTGCTGCTGCTGCTGCTGCTGATGTTTTTGCTGCTGCTGCTGCTGTTGAGGCAGGAGAGCTGCGAGTTCTGTCAGGGGCCGCCTTGGAGCAGCAGGCCAGGGGCCGCAGCTGCCGCAGCTGCAGCAGCAGCAGCAGCAGCAGCAGCAAGAAGGGTCCCGGTTAGCCCTTGAGTTGAAGGGAGGTTTGGAGGGAGCAGCTGAGCGGCTTCCGCTGCAGCAAGAAAGAGACAGCCGTTGACGAACGAACTGCTGCTGCTGCTGCTGCTTTTGCTGCTGCAATTATTTTGTTTGCTGCAGTCGAATGGCTGGCGAAAGTAGAGCAGGAAATGCATGCAGCAAGCAGGGCTGGCGCTGGCAGCAGCAGCTGCAGCAGCAGCCGCACGGCAGCCGCAGCAGCAGCAGCGGCCTGGGGCTGGGGATGTGGGGAGCGCGGTGGGTGCCGTGCTGCTGCTGCTGCTGCTGCTGCTGCTGCGTTGCTGCTGCAGCATCTTGGGAAGCAAAACCATATTTCTGGTGAGCTTTACCGGGGATTTTGTCCGACTTGTGGTGAGTGAGTTGGTTGGTGGCGCGTGGGCGTTCCTCGCCCGCGGGGGCTTCTCCGTGCTGCTGCTGCTCTTGCTGCTGCTGCTGCTGCTGCTGCTGCTGCTGCTGCTCTTGCTGCTGCGAAGGCGCGTTTGCGTTGGAAGTCGGAGAGTTTCGTTTGTTTGCTGCAGCAGCTGCAGCCGTTTGCTGCAGCACGCGACCTGCGTCGAGCCGCAGCGCTCCCACTCCCCCCGCTGCCGCTGCCGCTGCTGCTGCTGCTGCTGCTGCTGCTGCTGCTGCGCAGGTTAAATTGATTGCCAGGCCGCGCGCTCTGTCAGTCTCCACAAGCCCCGGCGTTTGTCTCCGCCTCTCTGCTGCTCCTGCTGCTGCTGCTGCTGCTGCTGCTGCAATGGGGAAAGACCGCGCGGCGCGGCGGCGGGAGTACTTCCCGCGGCTGCAGCAGCTGCTGCAGCAGCACCCGCGGATCCTGGTGGTCTCAGCAGACCACGTGGGCAGCAAACAGCTCGCTGAGATCCGCGTGGCGCTGCGGGGCCAAGCCACGATCTTAATGGGGAAGAACACAAAGATAAGGACTGCGCTGCGGCAGCAGCTGCAGCAGCAGCCGCAGCTGGAGGCGCTGCTGCCGCTGGTGCGGCTGAACGTGGGCTTCGTCTTCTGCTGCTGCGACCCCGCAGCAGCTCGTGCTGCAGTGCTGCAGCACAAAGTCCCGGCCCCAGCCCGCCAGGGTCTTGCTGCTCCTTCTAATGTCTTTGTGCCAGCTGGCCCCACAGGAATGGACCCCGGCAGCACTTCTTTCTTCCAAGCTTTGGGAATTAGCACGAAGATTGTGAAAGGCCAAATTGAAATCCAACAAGAAGTCCATTTGATCAAAGAAGGAGAAAAAGTCTCAGCTAGTGCTGCTGCGCTGCTCCACAAACTCGGCATCAAACCCTTCACCTACGGACTCAAGGTCGAACACGTCTACGATAACGGTCCGCTGCTGCTGCTGCTGCTGCTGCTGCTGCTGCTGCTGCTGCGGAGGGGGTGGGGGGGGGCGTGAAACGGGGAAAGGAGGAGCCCGGGAAGCCGAGATCTGCTGCTGCTGCTGCGCTGCTGCTGCTGCTGCTGTTTGGGTGGGGGTGGGCGTGAATGCCC